ATTTAGAATAGCATCACTTAAACTAGAAACAACAGAATGGATTACTATAGGAAAATATTTATAAAATACTGTACACTGCTTCCTTAGTTGGCCAGCATATGTAAACAAACAACAAATTCAATTTAGTTTCAAAATATTATTTAAAGTTCATGTATCTTATAATCTTTTGCATAACATGCCAGTTCATCTTTCACGCTATCACAACTCACCTATCACAGCTCATAGTGGCTCATTAAAGAATTATACATCAGCTCATACAGACATTTACAGTGGAGCTATACAGAAGAATGTGCGAAACATACAGCAGTTACAGATTGTGACCAAAAATGCATATTCCATATGTATGCTAACACCTTGAAAAGTGGAATTTAATGTTCAATGCAACATGTGCTATTTTATTGAATGTTACAGATTTATAAACACATGACTTCATAATGTGATGTTAAAGCTCTCCTGTAATGTTCACTAACATGATCACATGTCACAACCATACTGGATTATACATGGGATATATATATATATAGATGTTATAATATATCATTCAATACATAATATATCATATGGCACATGCTATAGTTATAAAATGATGGATGGTAAGATTTTTATCTCCACTAAGGAATTTATAACAAACTATCATTCACTACTGAGGCAGGGAGTGAAATTCTGGTCCCACTGACGTCAATGGGAATTTTATCATTGCCTTAAAAGAGGCAGGATTTCATGCAGTGTGTAAGTAAATAACTAGTGAAGATAAACAAAATATTCTAACATCCATCATAATATGTTCTATAGATACCACATTTTTAGAGTAAATGGGAGACATTCAGGAAAAGTTGTGTTCTGACATTTTGTGATCACACCTTTTTATATCTTAATTTACATTTTATATATAATGGAAAATTTTAAAAGAGGTAAATAAAGCTTCCTGCTTCACTATGCCTGGAATTTATACTCCAGGTTAATAAAGTGCTGTATTCTAATTATTTATACAGCTTTTGGGTTTGGGAAACCCCTCCACCCTGACAATCTAATAGTGAATCAGCCAGAGGAGATCTCTGCTCCTTGAACTAATTCAGCATTGAGTTTCTCTAGTACATGCCAAGGATACTGATGAAGGTGGAAAAGTCTATGAATAGTTTCAGAAAACATTCTTAAATAATAATAATAATAATAACAAAACAAGCAAAAAATAATGTAGAGAAACCTTAGGAAAAGACTGTTAACAAAAGTTGGCACATTTGAAGCAGATATTTAAACAAAAGTTGCTTTGTCCCTGGGCTTTGTGCTATTTTTTAATCAGCCCATCACAAGCGTGCTTCATAATTCACTTGGAGATGGGTCAGAAACTTTACCCTTTCTTGGTCACATCATGAAACATTAAAGCTGTGCATAGACTGCAAGGCAATCAAGTAAACATGGTATCTGGATGGAGCTGAGCCTAGCTCACTGAAGGCCTAATGGAACAAGCTATGGAAAGGAAACCATTGATGCAATAACACTATACTTTGTATTTTAAGTTACCATGCTGCATTTTTTTATTTCACCGACTTTTCACAAAGCGAGCAGCGTTTTCACTGTTTTTGCCCCTACTCCTTAGCTAGCCATTTTATTTTTTAGGCAGGGCTCTGTTGCTCTTGGGAGTTGTTTGCTTACCATACAGAGCTCAGAGTCCTCCGGAGTGAGACTCCAAGTATCAAATTTAGGACAGAATTTCCAGAGCTGCTTCAGAGATTGGGATGGCCAATTCCCACTAAAATGAATGGGAAAGGGTTGTCCCACCAAAAAATCCAGGGGGCGCCTCGAAAATCCTACTTATATTGATATTAATATCATTAGAAAAGGGGCCTGAATCCATATGCATGGTGGTTACTTTTTGAGACTGTTTTATTTCAAACTAATGTTCATGGTATTCATTTAAATTGTTTTCAAGTTTAACCTTTCCTGCTCACAAGCGATGTAAAACTATGACAAAATCATTATTTTCATGGACTGCCATATGGCAAGAAATGTCTTTTCTTCATTATCTCTGTTCACAAAGGATGATCCTTATTGTTACTATGGACTGACTGATACTATCCTTATTGGTACTATGACTCCTTATTGATACTATGGACCACATTTTGCAACTGAATTCATAGGTGGAGTTACCACTGATGTTGTTGTTGATGATGGTGTTGTTAGACATTACCTTTACCACATGTTAAATGCTTTTAAGATGGAAGTGTCCACAAATTAAGGCAGGAAAAGAAGAGCTAAGTGTCCCCATAACAGCTCAAAGTTATGCCTCTTTGGGTGAGGAGTATTTCCAGCTGGCATTAGGCAGCCCATGTTTCAGTAATGTCAGTTTGCTCCATGGGGCCAATACCAAGTTCACCAGTATCCCAGGATGCACCACTCTCAGCCCCTTCCATATGGATGATCTGTCTTTCAGAACTCTACTGTCCTGGACTAACAAAGCCCTGGAGAGTTGTGGATGAGTGGGGAGTCTTGGGGGAGAGGGGAAGGGGGTTGAGCAAGGATCTTCTGGGATCTTCATAGGGGGTAGGGGAGGAAAGTGAGCAGGAAACCATTGGAGAATTGGAGAGTCAGGCAGCCATAAGGCAGACTTGGCAATTCCTAGGCATGCCCCTGCTCACCAGCCCTCTAGCAGCAAGCCAGAGCTGTGCACATTAGAGGGTATTAACGCTTAAGTTCAGCTGCTTGTAGTGTGTGCTAACTTTAAGACTGCCTAACAGTCCTTAGAATTAGCATGTGGGAACTGTAACATGTAACAACACCCAGCAGGGTCCTATATGCATTCTGAAGCAATGCTTTTTTTCTATCAAAATGTACATTGCTTTTGTTGTAGCTTTATGTATAATGGAAGCATACTTGCAAGTGATGGCTTTTGCTGTTAGCAAATACCTCCATTTTCATCTTGTTGCTTTAGCTTACCTCCACCATCTTTTTTGAATGTTTGGAAATACTCTGCCAGGAACATTTCCCATTACATAACTTCAGTCAAATTGCGTTAATCTGAGATCAGACCACTTGACAAGCTTTGTATATTTCGAAATGGTCAAATAGAACCAGATAGTAATAAACAAACATGATGTGTTTGAATGGGGGAATGATGTGAAAAATTGGCAGCTTGATGATGGAACAGCAAGAAAAACATGGTATCAACTCAGGAAAAAGCTATTCACAGAAATAAAAAAAATGGAAATGTATGGAACAGTACTTCAGCAGCATGTTATTCTTATTGTTCCATAGCAACTTTTAATTTAGTGAAACAATGTATTGATGACGTTAGTTAAAAAAATAAATATATACTATTCCACTTTTTACATTCATCCTGAGCTTGCTCAAGTGTGCTAGAATGCCTGCTTAATACAGGAAATCACCTAGCAATTTTTTTTTTTTTACATAAATTCTTCCTTCATTTATGTTGCAATAAAAAAGGCATTTCTTTTCCCTTTCTTTTCTTGAAAATATAAACATTTTGTGGCACTAGCAGTTAATACAAAAAGAGACGGGTGAACTATGATTATTAACTTTGCTGTTTATCGTTACGATGATCAGGTTTAGAAGTGTAGTGATATAGGGACTGGGGAGATTCTAAGGTTTACTTGCTGCTGGTTCCTGCAAAAATACCGGTGCTTTTCATCTGCCATCACAACGATGAAACAGATGTAAAAGAAATCAGAACTCCAATTTAGAATGCATAATTTGTATGCCTTCTTTTTTGTCAATTTCTCCCTGTGTCCTAGAAACTCATGAATAATCATCAGACATCCTAGGATGCCTTTTAGTAAAAGGCAGATTTCTGAACAGATTTACTAATTACTGATGACTTCATGAAGTGGTTTTTTAAAAAAGTCTTATAAAACTTTCTTCCCTCCCTTTTTTCCTTAAGTGCAAATGTCAACTCAGACAAGATCCAGTAAGCCAGTGTGTGACACTGAGATTAACAAAGTGCTAGGCTGACTGACAGTAGGGACTGACATTAGTTGACAAATCACGATGTGAGGTTATTTAAATCTGCTAAAGAAAATGGACTGGAGAGCAGATGACCCTTAGACTTCCTGCTGCACATGCCAATGTTTAGCTGTGCTTAGTCTCAAAACTACGGAAAGCGCCTGTTCTGGACAGTCTTCTCATAGACAGGGTGTCCCCTCTACTTTCTGGCCTGGATGATTTACTCCTCTGGAATGGATTTCTCAAGGCTGTTGTGTTACGCTGCCTATCGAGTTTATCACTGATGGAGTAGCTCTTCCTTGTGTGTGCATACAGCATGTTGGACTCATCTGCAGAGTAGCTGTTGGCTCGCTCTATTTTTGGAAGCGGTATGCTGTTGGTTAGAGTTCTTGCAGTGTTGCTATCCTGAGGAGATAAGGCACTCCCCTTCTTGTCTTTGAGCTCAGTCTCCTCATTATCTGAACTTGGATGACTTAGCTCTGCTTCTCTCTCTGGGTGGCAGCATCCTAAGTCGTCCACTTTGCCTCCATGACTTCCAGGGAAACTGGACCTTTCTGCTATGGCCTGGGGAGCGCTGACACATCTGGTGTCTATGCAGTCTGTAATACTTGTATACTCTGCTGTTTTGACTGGCACCCCGAGGCTGCTGAAATAGCTCCGAGAAGGAGAGAACATAAAACTATGTGATTTCACAATTGGGGTTTCCTCTAGAATAAATGGGGTTGTAGCCAGGTAACGACTGCTTTTAGATCGCTCTAAGGTATGATATAAAGGAGGGTCAGAGTCCCAGGGGTTTTGGCTATCTGTGATGTGTGAGTAATCTGCAGAAAATGCTCTTGTTTCCATTGTAGAGGTTTCCTCATAATCAATACTTCTGCCAGAAATTCTGTCACCAGGTGTACTGCTAACATACGCACTGTTTGCCAGAATGGAGGAAGCTATTTGAGCCTGCAGAGCTGGGTCTCCGGTACCAAGAATATTTACTGAACTGTCAAGAGGTTCCATACCAGACTGCAGTTCATCCATGGCAGAAACATAAATGTCTATGCAAGATGAAGGCCTTCTGGAGTCTGGGGCAATAGACAAAGTGCTTGTAGGGATCAAAGGTATCTTTGTTTCTTTTGATACAGACTGCGAGCTACTAGCTCGATGCAGGCTCACAGACCTTTCTTTAAATATACTTTCCAATCTGTCTAACCCACATTTGTCTTTCAGATTCACCGCATAGAAAGAGTGGCTTCGCATACGGGGAACAGCAGTAGGAGAGGTTGGAGACATTGACCCCTCTCCTGCAGGGTCTATACTTTCCGGAAGCTTGTAAGTGTTCCCTTCCTGGCTATTGAAGCTGCTCTGTCTTACAATGTAAGCAGCATCTGTACAGTCTGAGGAAGTTCTAGATCGTACTTTGGTAGTCTCCCCTTTTTCCACACCAGTCAACTTCTCCAGGGCTGTAGCCATTCGTCCTATCATATCCTCCAACTGAGCAAGTCTGATGTCTACAGTCTGAAGTGAAGTTTTCATACAATGTTCTCGCTCATTTACTTCCTCCAACCTCATGGCCATATTCTCTACCCTTCAAGAGAAGAAGAATGCATAGGTTATTATCTATTAGACAGGTGGATGCTGTGATCTATTGTCTATATGCTAGGTAGCCAAAGTATATGGGAACAAATACATTTTAAAAACTGTAGGCTAGATCCTTCTATTCCATTCCATTCTGACTGATATCACTTTACCTACTGCAGACATAGTTAAAATGGATGAAGTGGACACCCTATTATTTCTCCTACATCGCAAGTTTCTTTAGAAGTGTAGAATCAACAGAAATTGTCCTGAATCATCTGTGCATTGACCCTGACATAGGGAACATGTTAGGTAATTTAGGCCCGTGTGAAGAGGCTAGTATTCGCTTTGGATTCAGTCAATTCAGGTGATGGTGATTCAATTCGGTGATTCGAATCACTGTCCCAATTTGATTTGGCCAAGTCTGATTCGGAGATTCGGCTGCTGCTAAATCTCCAAATCGCCGAATCAGCCAGGCCCTTCCCCTGCCTGCTCTCCCAGTCCGGCAATGGCTGCCCTGCCTGCCCCAGCTCCCCGCACTTGATAAAAAAAAAAGCCCCAGTGCAGCCTTGGGGGCTTGTGCAGAGCCCCCACGTGGCATGGGGCAATGGGGGGCAGTGGGGATCACCCCCTGCCAGCAGGAGCTGGTGATTCCCAGGGCTTTTCTGTTTGTTTTTTTTTCTTAAATGGCTGGAGCTGGCCTGGGTGGGGCACCCATGGGGGGGCTGGGGGAGTGAAGCGGGGGCAGTGGGGGACAGTGGGGATCGCCCCCCCTGCCTGGCAGCACCTGGTGAGCACCGGGGCTTTTCTTTTTTTAAAGAGCCAGGCTGCTGGGGCTGGAGGGATCCCTCCATGGTCCCCTCCCTCAGTCCCCCCTCCCCTGTCCCTGGTACTTACCAGCTCCAAGTCAGCTGCAGCTCCCAGCTGCAGCCACCGGAGACTGCCCAAATCATCAAAGCTCTTTTCTGAAGATTCGGAGAGCTTTGAATCGATTCAGACCTTTAAAGTAGTCCCTTTAAATTTGATTCAGATTTAGAGATTTGGCCACCAAATCGAGTCGAATCTCCTCTGAATTGAATCACCACCCGAAGCTTTGCACAGCCCTATTAGATATGTGGCCAGAGGACATTGGAGTCTTGCTCTGATCTGTCAAGCCTTAGTTGCCATAACTGTTGCTGTAGGCCATACTGCAGAAGTTAGTTCATCTATAAGGCTGCTTTAAGTTGCCACTGGTCGAGCTTCTGTGGTTTGTCCCAGAATCAAGAGTGCATGTGAAATCAGAGTACAACAACATTTTTTTCACTGCTCCACTGTTTCTCTCTTGCTTGTTTCCTCCATAGATTATTTTATTTTATGATATAAAAATATATTATTTTATCAGTTATCTTACCTGATATTACTTCAGTTCCATTACATACCCCAGTAGATTCATTATAATTATCTGCTAAAACTTACAGAGGGAGAACACCAGTTAGGCCAACTACGTTACAAGATTGAGGCCAGACCAAGATTTCTTCTCAAAGGGTGGGGATACATTCAACAACAAGATGAATTATCTAATGCTTTCACCAATGACCTCACTAAGCTATGTCCTCTAGCCTAAAGACAGACAAATAAAACCAACTGCCCCCTCCCCACTGTTAGCACAAGATTAGTTTTGGAACTGAGGATTTTCAAGATAATAATATATATTTGAATCAAGGAGAGTTTGCCCACAATCATTCTTCATCTTACTTAACATCCAATCAAAAATGCTATCCCATAATGAAAGTTTTATACATTTCTTGCTCTGTGGTTGAATGTATACTCACACATTCAGTCTTTAAAAATAATGTTCTATGATGATGACTTTAAAATTAAAAATTTAGGGCAAAAGGACATATTGAATTGTATGAGTGAAAGCCTGGCTCCAGTGAAGTCCATGGGGGTTTTGACATTAAATTTAATGGAACCAAGATTTTACCCGAGAAGTCTCAAGCTAACAAAACACCTAGAAAATTAGAACTCATTTATGAAATTTTGTTAGAACTAATTAGACTTTCCATTTTTGATGGAGCGTTTCCTCTAAGACATTTGCAAACGTTACACAGTTTTTTAAATGATATAATACTCTGTTGTATTGTTGCATAAATTCAGCACCATAACATCTAAAATGTAAACCCTGCAATTCATTATGAATTAAACCATATTAAACCTTAGTTGTGCTGGTGAACATTTATTCAAAGAAGTAGTTTCGTTGATGTTAATGGGTTGACATTGGTACATACTTACCAAGATAAAGGTTATAAATCTAGCCAAACTGAGTTTATATCAGAGCTAATTAACAAGCACAAGATGTTGCCTGTATTGAATGGGCTCTGACTATTGAATGGGCTCTGACTGGTTCTTGATCAAGCCAGTAAAACTCATCTGGTTGTGTTCTTTTGCAAACCCCAACCTATTATATTAATTCAAGTGAACTCTGTTGTATTTTACACGTATCAATCTTCTCTCAGGTTTTTAATAAACACTTTTAATACATTTAAAAGGGCAACATTCTTTCCCTCATTTTTTCTTTAGTATTCAGGGCTGCCACATTTAATCACAATGAGTAGCACTGTACTCAGGAAGTAGTCCTAGTGGTCGATGTACCCAAATCACTCTTGTACACATTGTGGAATCCGTGGGATGACCCTTGGTGTGAGGTTCCACACAGTCAGAGTAAGGATAGTAGAATCCCATCCTTAAAATGGTTTTTAAGGTATTCAGCAAACTCCTGGTTACTACTGAATGATATTTACACTCAGTGAATAAATGGAAACAGCTGTATATCTATTGCCCCACAGCATCTCTCTGGAAATAAAGGACTAGTTTAAAAATAAGATACTGCCCAGTTTTTGTTTTGGATTTTTTTCAGATGCATTGAAGATACTATGAATTATTTGGCACATATCATAAATATCCATGGATGGTGCCCTTGCTGCACCTGTGTCTTCCATGACAACAAGCTTCTTATCCAACACGTAAGAGGGCATCATGCCATCCTAACAGATGGGTACAAAGAAAGGAAGGGAAGCTACATGTAATATGGGCATCAAGTACTGGTATATTTCACTGCAGCTCAATAATTCTTCCAAATAAAATATAAACATGGATTATTTCAACATGATGTTTGGTGGCTAGATAATATGGGATCAGAATTATGAAACTGAGAGAGATTTGTGTCTTACTAACAATCAGAATTAACTGGAAGTGATGAATTAGCTGGCTCTTGCTCTACTTACATAAACTTTATGTTTAAAGTTTGCAAAGGGTTTATAAAAATCATTGCAATTATGATTACGGAGTTAAGTGCCTAAAAATGTTTTTGAATCTGGGTCTCTGGGCTGCATCCACAAAGGCATTTATGGATGCAGCCCAGAGGCTGCAAAATCCAGAAAATAACTCAAGTTCCTAAAGTCAGAGACCTAAATTCAGTATTTAGGCACCATGGAGATGCTCAAAACATCTATTAAGATGCTGCTAATTCTAGAGGCATTTGAAGTAATTTGTGCATTTTCTAGTTATGTCCCTGGGTGATTAAAATGTCTTTCCTCTAGGTCAGTGCTGCTTGTCCCCATGGGCCAGATGAGTGGCATGGGGTCTGACACCACTGCCTTCCTGCCCTGAGCTCTGGGATTGGGCTCTGAAGGCTGGCACTGCTCCCTCCCACCCCCCACATGTCAGGACTGGTTCCTACAGGGCTGGCACTGCCCCCTCCCACCCTCTGCACAATGGGATTGCATCCCAGTGGAGCCGGCACTGCCCCCTCCTCCTGGGATTAGGACCTGGAGCCTGGCACTGACCCTGCCTTCATCTGGCCCTGTGCACTGCTCCCCTGCTGCCAAATTTCTGGACCCATGTGGCTCATAGGCTGGATGACACACAGTCATGGGTCAGATGTGGCCCACAGGCTGGAGGTTGAGCACCCTTGCCTTAGGTTAATCTGTTCTTGGAGTGTATTTTGTTAATTCACAAATATTAATGTCAAAAATGGAAAGTCTGTTCTCTCATGCATCAGCTACTTGTCTAAGTTATGAGGCATGTTTGTATCATGAACCACTTGGTTTAGCAAATTGATTCCTTTATGTAGTTTTTTATTATTCAGTTCTGTGATGAACTAGTCAGACAATAAGAAGATTCTATACACTGGGTACAAGTACACATGTAATTAATGTGATGCAATAAACTCTGGAGCTGTTTGAGCTGGAGTCAGCTGCTTCCAGGTGCAGTGTCTACACATGTACCCGGGACAGCAGCCATCTGAACCAGGGTAAAGCAGGCCCCAACTGGCTGGGCGTTTCAGCACAGTAACTTACTCCATTATAAGACAGTACTGTCTGCAACATTACTATCTTACGGTGGAGTTACTTACTTTATTGCGCCCTAATACCAGCATGTGTAGATAGTGACACTTCACTGTGCAGATAATTAGTCTACTCCGCAGTAAAGCACACATGTAGATGCACCAACTAAGACCTCGTTTGAACTCTTGTCTTATGATCTGCTATAACATAGAAGAATAAATGTAAAGCATACTCTGTTGAAATACAAATGTCATAGGGCTTCACCTTCAGGTAGACCTCAAAAGTCTAAATCTTAGTTTGTCTTAGATTTCCACTCTTACATTTCCCTCACAAGATCCTCACAACACATCTCCTCTTCTTGTCTTCTTGGGATATTTAATTCATTAATTCACTATAACTAGCTTGATTTTACATGTATGGCACATACCTACTAAGTTTTTAAAGTAGTTCTTGGAATGGTTTCTGTATACATTTTGCATAAAATGTTCAGTGGGATATTTAAGAGGAAAAAGCATCATCTTAGAAGAATCGTACAGCAGCTGCTCAGTCAAGTCTGAGCAGGGAGACTTCTAGAGTACCAGTTGTTTTTCCTCATTCTGAGGCCTGTGACCTGTACACAAGTCAGAACAGCAGAGAAGCATATCAAACTTATGCCACCAGCATAAGGTCCTGTAGAGCTTCTACACTAGTGAAGGATCAGAATAATAGTGATTCCATAGGCTACAAGGTCTGCCTTGAGGCTCTTCCCCCTGAGAGAAGTTGAGGTGGCTGGTGTGGGAGCTGGTAGAGCTGTCTCCTAAAACTTTTGCTTGTGACGAGTTACCCAACCCAGGGGAAATTCTCCACTAGCCTTTTAAGTCCACTTTGTGCAATGCAGTGAAGAAAGGTAATCTGGCCCACCATGTCACCTCTACAAGGGATGTAGTATTGTCTAGTACAGGATAATAACCAGACATTGGGAAGGAAAATCTATACTCTTATATGCCCACTTAGTTTCCTTTTGTCTTGCAACATATGACCAATTTCTGTGGAGACAGCCCTGTATTATATTGCTTAGTTATGGAGCCAGATTTGAACATTACTCAAACCAAGGAAAGGGTGGAGAAATTAGCTTTGGTTTTTGGTACAAAGAGATACTGGTCAGACTAGCTCAAAACTTTCCCATGGTCTGAAGTGGTTGGGAACACATCTGTGTTAGATTCCAGTTCATAGAATGTGCTTTATCAAAGACATTTGAATGGTCCTCATTACTATAATACCTGAGCATATAAGCTCTTTCATGTATTTCTCCTTAATTTATATTCATAGAAGTGTGGTGTCTGAGAGTATTGTTCTCAGGAATGAAGATAGCTAAGGAATGTACTATTTGCTAATCCTGCTTTGGGTTAGATTTAGTTTCAAAATTGAAATAAACTGTAAACATATTCTAGTGTGTGCAGAAAACCCATTTTTGGCCTTGTTGCATCAGGTGTAGTACTGACAGGCTTTGGCATAAGTGGCAGGGAGTGTTGTGTTTGTAACAAATTCACAACTGTCATTCTTTTTGCTTTTTTTAAAAACAATCAGAAGGGATTAAAGTACGGGTGGGCAAAATGCGGCCCAGGAGCCAGATGTGCCCCACCGGGCCATTCAATCTGGCCCGCGGAGCCCCTAGAAAATTTAGAAAATTAATATTGATCTGCTCTGGGCTGCCTGTCAAGCAGCCCTTGATGGCTTGCCAAAACTCAGTAAGCGGCCCTCTGCCCAAAATAATTGCCCGCCCCTGGATTAATGAGTTTTCATATTAGTTTATTGTGATTAACCAGGTGTTGCCATGCAAAATTTATTGGGGACAATACCTTAAGTCAACAGACATGAGCTTAATTCTATTCCACCTATTACAGGAGTATAGGTTGTAGCCATGTTGGTCTAAAGACACAGGCAGACAAGGTTCTTTGGATAAATCTGATATCTTTTATTAGACCAACTCAAATAGTTGGAAAAATTCTTCTTTGCAAGCTTTTGGGCACAAACACCCTTTGTCAGGCTGAGGAAGCATCACTATCTATTAGGCATATAAACCAATTTATAAGCCCAAGTGCAATTCTATTTCACCCTGCTTGGGCCCCTGAAACACAATTACTTTGCAAAGCCTTGTTGCTTTGTTGCAATTCAGTCCTAAGGGTAAAATGACAATGTGTTACAAAAGTAGATGTATTAGTGTAGGGGTGTCAAACATATGACCTGGGGGGTCAGATATGGCCCAATGACTCAGGTCGTCTGTCTCACAGACTTGCCCTTCCTCTGGCCATAGTGGTAGCATTTTTGTGAAGCCACTGGGGCTACTGATGCCCCGGATCTCACCAGGATGCAGGCTGCCATCATGGGAATGTGTGGTGTTGCTCAGATTGCCAGTGCCCAGCTCTCACCAGGGCACTGACTGCCTCTGTGGGAAGCCTTACCACCATGGTCAGAGCCCTGGCTCTGGCCGCAGTGGCACAGGGTCCCACAACCACACACATATACACATGAGGACACTCACATTGGCCTCCCGTAGGGTCAGGTGCTGGCTACCATCATGGGAAGACCTACCATTGGTGATACAGCTTCTGCCCATGGTGTCACTAGGGTTGCTTGTGTGAGAGCCAAGGTGTGGCCCTTAGGCACCTGAAAAGGAGGGAATGCAGCCTCCGAACAATCTGACATCCCTGCATTAGTGGATTTTCAGGCCTGGAAAAGAAGCACTGGGATGGAATTGCACTTAGGTGCCTAAGTCCACTTGGATGCCTAATAGGTGGAACAGAATCTACTCCATGTTCTGCATGCAAAAATTTACTTAATTGTTCAGATACTTTTGTTATAAGGGCAATGGATAAACAGGAACCTTGGGTTACACCACATTTTTTAACACAAAGTGGAGCTGAATGTAGTTTACCCTTGTCTTCAGTAGCAAGACAGACCTGAAAATATTGTGACTGAAATTTTGGTCTTATTGAAATCACTGGCAAAGTCCATGCTGGTTTCAATGAGCTTCCACTCTAGAAGTCTAGGCACACAAGGATCTTTCTCAGTCTCAGTGGGTTTCACTTCTGTGTTAAAGCACTGATAAATTTAATAGCTACATTGTGTCTCACCTTTGTATTTTGGCCACTTACGTTCTAAGGTTATAATTTTAAAAGGTGTAATGTCAAAAGAGTACATGGATTTACCTCACCATTTGTGTTACTTTCTGGTACAGCTGATTGAAATGTTTTACATTTTAAAAATTTTTAATGAAAATAATTCACCATTTTTCAGTCAGCTCTTCTTTGTACGTGTTGCAGTATAATTAAAAAAAGTTGTGTCAAACAAGCTGTCCTCACCAAGAATGGGAAAGTAAGAGAATAACAATAGAAAATACAGCAATGTATTTCAAGATATAGATCATATAGGACAAACAAAAAAAGTCTACCTTTCAGAAGTGACACGGATTCTTTCATCATTGGAAGAATTAAATCTATCATCCTTTTCTCTAAAATATTCTTCTATGCACTGCTCTTCAAAATCATGAACTTTTTTCAATTCATCTTCTGTTATGAAAAGTTCTATAGAAATTCCAGAAGGGAAAAGACACTGATAAAACATGAATTCATAAAACCAAACCAAACCCTGTTTTTTATTCATCATTGGCAATCCCTCAGTTTGAGAATGAACCATCTCTACAATGGCTCATTGGTGGGTCTTGAATACCTCTTATTACTGTAGGTCTTATGGGGCAAGGTGTCAAGACTATCATACAGTTATTTTTGTATTAAATCAGATAGGCAGATTTAGCTACCAAACTAGCAGTCTCAAACATATTGTACTTTTGCACACATCAACAGTTAGGGAATAAACACTGTGCACACAATACTGTTGTTATACCTTTTAACAGCTGGATGAATGTTGTGAAAAAATAGCTCTGTCTTTTAACAAAATCATAATTAGAGATAGATAAACTGGCTAAAATAAGTAAACAACTGGCATGAATACTGGATCAAATTTGAATAATACTTTCCATGGGAAGTTTGACTACATTATTCCTATGTGTAACATGTATCAAACAAGGCCACTTAAGTTTACTTCAATTGTTAGTATTTCTGTAAGTCTCTGCTGAGCAATGTGTTATTTTCAAATCTATCAAGTTTCATGGTTATCTGTAGCCAAGGGAAAATAAGAAGAGTATGCTTGCATCTATTGTAGGTGAGGGGAAGTGGAGCAAGTAGGTGGAAAAGCTGAATTGAGGCCCTTTGGTTTGGGGAAGCCCTGATTATGTGAAATCTAAATACCATATTTACCCAAATGCAAGATCATTGTGAATTTAAGATGACCCCCCCCCAATAATTGGATCCTAGATATGGAAAATTATAAAGCAGAGGAGAATGCAGCCTGTTCCGTCCTGCAGCTTGTCACCTCCAGTACTTACCCTTCTCCTGGTGCCTACCCCCTACTGCCTGCTCCCCCCCACCCCCTCCCACCCAATCTGTTGGATGTTGAAGTAGATGGAGCTGAGGTTTGGTAAAAGGGGTTAACAGAAGGGGAGAAAGATTTGTTCAGATTAGGAAGAGAGAGGGAGAAGAATGGCATAGAGAGGATGTGTAATAGGGATCCCAAAAGTATCTGAATCTTTGTCATTCATGCTAATGGGAATTCATCTTAATGCGATGGGAGGCCAAACTCACCTAGCTAGAACATTTACCAGGGAGGAAACGAACACATTGGCTGCTGACAGACATGGAAAAAAATGGTGCTTTACCAGAAGAGGAACCATATGAACTTGACCTGGCTCCCCAGAATATGTACAGATCACATGCTTTAGTGGGGCTTTTTTATCTAATAGTCAATGAATCATCTATTATATAAAAGCACCAGAAATCCTTGCTGAAGTGCACCATCTATACAGATGCTGGGTGAGCTGGGTTCAACTGACGTGCTTCTTCTGGGCAAGTGCTGCTCTTGGTGTGGGGGTGCACCGAGCTGAAAGTAAAGCGCCATTTTTGCCCCCCACATCTGACAGTGGCCATAATGCCTAAATGCTCCCTCTTATCTTCAGTTTAGATACAGTAGAAATCAAAGCATGTAAGGACACTGGCCTTGTGCCCATATATTTTGCCTCCAGTATACAGGGAAGCCGCACATATTATTTTATTATTATTTAAAACTGTGCATGTGGAGATGCTTTAGGGCTTTAAGAGGCATCCAAGCATAGGGGAAGAGTGGAGGATGTCCAGCTATAAACATAGACTACTATTGTGAAAAAAACATGGCAGCTGGGCAAATATATGCCCTGTTGCTATTCTCTTGTAAGAGAATGAATAGATGGGAGGTGCAAAGTATTAGTAAAATTGAATGGGAATGTGAAAGTCCCAGTTTGTAACTACAAGTTGGAGATATTTAAAGCTTACTTAATCCATAGTCTCTCTCATCTTGGTCACTTTCATGTTTTCGCCATCTACAGCAGAGGTGTTGGAATATCATAGTCATGTGGCTGAAAATGATCAAAGGAGGTGGAAGAACCGGCCTTTCATGAAATGTCATGATTAGCTGATACCTCTGAAACTTCCAGACTTGGTTAGATATAGACTTAACCTCAAAAAATGTGTTGCTAAAAGAAATAGAAAAGGAAAATACTATGATATCAAAACCATCTTGGGTACTTCCGCCTTGAAAAGACAATATGCTCATTAGACTGTTTTCATATCTGGTTTCTAAGTTCTACCATTAAAAAAGTAGACAAAATGCTATTATCTCCTCATGAAAGCATAACAGCATAGCAGCAGTTTAAAAGATAAATTGGTTGTTATTGCGAGAACATCAAAATAATGCTTGATGCTTTACTAACAATAAACTGTATAACGTTTCCGTAATGCAGGAAATAGTATCCCCATTTATACTTTGGCAGAATGAGACAATGAAGGATTAAGTACAGGCACTTTTCACTTAATGTCATCCTGGTTAACATTGTTTTGTTATTATGTTGCTGATCTATTAGAGAACATACTTGTTTAAAGTCACGCAATGTTCGGTTATAACATTGTTTGGCTGCCCCCAGCTAGTAGGTAACTACTGTGACGTAATTGGATTTGCTTAACATTGTTTTGCTTGAAGTCACATTTTTCAAAAACGTAACTATCACATTAAGTGAGGAGTAGCTGTACGATGTCCAAGGCTACAATGTGAACCCATACCATAACTGAAATTAGAACCCAGAGGTCTTCATTGCTGTCAGCGTCCCTGGATCACCATACTTGAGACACAGTGAATTACTAGAGCTACATAGCTATCACATTACTGGAGATGAGCTACTCTGCCACTCTCACTATCACAAAGCACCTCCCCTAAAGCTGACTCCAAACTCAAAGTACCCAAAAGCCTGCTACTCACTTAAAGACAGCAATAAGAAGGTTCACCAGAAGGATGTTTGCAACCAAGAGGTAACATGCCATGATGGCAGGAACGATCCATGCTCCTGTCTTGCAGGGAGGCAGCTGAATTATTTTGCCATCCTCTCTGGTTTCATTTTGGCCACAAGGAGCTGGGAAGAAACAAATGAGAATGAATCTTAATTTTCAGAGCTTCCTACACACATGCTTAAATATTTATAAAGGTTTTTTTTTAAAATCTTTCAAACCACAGTGGCATGATGTTGCCCCATGAGGTTTGATAATGCACTTGCCTCATGCTGTGATCAAACACTTGTCAAAGTTATGAAAGCTACTGCTCTTGATATCTTCTGTTAGCAACATCAAGATTTTCCTTGAGACATTTCAGGAGTAAATTGAGTTGCAGCTGCCTGTCTTTCATTGACCTATCCAGCTGTTTCTGAAACACAGCTATGTAGCAGTGGTAAGTAGATGCTGTTAATATGAGCTAACCAAATTGCTTACTCCTATGTACAGCCATCATTTTTCTTTCACTGAATACAAATATTTGGGCTTTTGCTCACTGAGAGAAGGGGTGGTAATAAATAATGTACATGTAAAATAAGCTATTTTTGATCATTGCAGTACAAAAGAATCAAAAAACAACAATGGGGCAAGTTCATAATGGGCAAGTAGAGACATTCAAAAAGCCCGAGGTGAAATTGAGTCTTTTGTAAGTTACACCGTTTTCTGTAAGTGGCATCGTTTAGATCAGTAGTGAACACATTCACCCTTTGGTGGGGTGCACAAATCTTAGACTGGGTTCCATCATTTTTAAACTAGTCTGTGTGTGCCAACTTCTTTTCTGTTATGGGTACAGACAGGTTTTGTGTGCCAAACTTCTGTTCTTTTACAGATATAGATAAGATGACCATATGTCCTGGTTTGGCCAGGACACTCCAGGGTTCCACAGCCCAGTCCTGGCCAGTTGGTCAAAAGTCCCGGGCTGGAGTGCAATAGGGAGGCAGAGAGGAACGGTGCACCAGGCAGGCAGCCGGGCAGGCACCGCTGGTCCTGTGGGTGGGGTGGCACCTGCTCCAGTCTGCTCGCCTTGTTACAGACTACAGCAGGCACCACCTTTGCCTCCAGACTGGAGCAGGCACTCCATCTGCTCTGCCTCCCTGTTGGATGCCAGGCGAGGACTTTTAACCAATTGGCTGGGACCAGCCACGTAATCCCAGAGTGTCCTGGCAAAACCAGAACATATGGTCACCCTAGGTATAGACCAGTTTCCAATCACCTATACCAATAAAAGTGTAGTCTGTACCTGGCCAATGACTCTCTGCTATTGGACCTTGGACTATAGACTTAGGAACAATGTGGAAGACATTCAAGTATTTTTTTTTTGTAACGAACAGTGGAGCTGCAACCTGTTTTGTCCTTAAATTTATAAACATCAAATATATCCCATATTCATTTTTTGGAAGTAGGGGGAGGAAATAGCATACAATTCAGTTTTATAAAATTCTCCAATATGCTTTGGCAGATTCCTATTCATCCCCATCTCACTCTCATGGATTCAATTCATTATTCTGGTTGGCCTTTCAAGTCTCAGGCGATGTATTAGGATTGATCCAGAGCATGCATCATTTTTGGTTCTTCAAGAAAACTGTTGAAAGGGCTTACAGATAGTCCTCCAGGGTGAACATCATATAATATTGTTCATATCCCTCCCACAGCCCTTCTAAAAGAAAGGCAAAACAGACAAACAAAATCTGCTGGAGCAGGACTTGGGCAATGCTTTAGAAATCCTGCCATAACGACTCTGTGTTCTACTATATCAAGTATTATTTCTTTCCAAAATGATTACTCTGACTGATCCATAGACCATAGTTTCTCAAGCTGTGGTACACGTACCCCTGGGGGTACGCGAGACAGAGGCAGGTGCTATATGCGGATACCCCAACACTCTCTCTCTTACCCTCTTTTCCTCTCTGTCTCTCACCCTCTTTTCCTCTCAAAACTAAGGCAAAAAATTTCATGCAATTAAAAAAATTAAATTCCCCAGTAATAATTTGGTGTTCAGCCCTCCTAGCTTTGGCCAACATCACCTGTAGCCCCGGTACACACTTGAGTTGTGCACCCCTGGTATAAAACGTGATAACCCTATCCACACCAGATCAGACATCTGTCATAGCACGGCCTTATATACACAGTCGTTCTCCCAACATATGGCATGCATTAGCCTGTAAATATAAAATTCCCTGGAAAATTGAATGTTGGAGTACTTATTAACATTTTCAGAAGTTAGGGGGTACTTGCTACTTAAAAAGTTGAGAAACACTGCCACAGACCACTGGAGTCAACTTTGGATGATTTTGTATTGCTAGTTATGTGGAATCAAGTGGCATTGAGACCTTGTTTTGGGGCACTATGTGTAGATATTAAATGATCAAATCTTTACTTTGATACATTTGTGTGGGAGAGATGGAGACTGGCATATCTACTTCAGACACATACTATCCCAATGTAAAGTGAACAACCATATAAAAAGAACAGCATCAACAATACAAGCCATGTTACACACATCAGCAACTGTCTTCAGTGTCTGGCTGAAAAATCTCTATTGCGTGCATGGACATGTGCATATGTTAATGCTTGTTATTAATCTTCCTCACATACAGAAAAGCCTTTTCTCTCTGGGATGAATTCAAAGGAAGTTATTCTTCAAACAACATGGTATTTACAGATCTTTTCAATTAGCTTTAGTATTTTCATGTTTGCTTTAGTGTTCCAAACTTCCTTTAGGCATCAGGGGTTCAGCTGTGAGTTTGTGAAGTGCTGAATACCCTCATCTTCCATTTAACAGAAGTTTGGGGCACTTAACATGTCTCAAGATCACCCCTCAGGTGAACAATGTACTTTTAAAATTCTGG